TGCACGATCCTCTTCAATAATATCCTCTGCTTCTCAATCGGGCTCAAACTGATAAGCAGGGGTGTGAAGTAATGGATTACAAATACTCACGTTACAGTAATTAAGTAGTTTTTATTAGTAATTGTACTTTGAGTATTTTAAAAATTGTGTACTTTTACTTGAGTACATTTTAAGTGATGTATCGGTACTTTTACTCCGCTATTTTCCTCCGTTTGTGGTCATTACATGCTTTTTTTTATTTGATTTTTATCCATCAACGTGATTGGATAGAGAGTAATAGGTCTCGTGACTTTCGTCAAATCAAATTGTGCATAGAAAACTAGCCGCGAACTGTTTATCATGGCTGCTGGAAGCGCATTCTTCAAGCATCAATTCTGTCGCATCTTCCTCTAACTTAATATGTTAAGGTAAATTTCAGATTTCTGCTTACTAAATGATTTGTATATATGCTTGCCTATCTACACAGCCTAAAATTTGGTGTGAGGTTGTGGGTATTGCATACAGTGATAACTCCCGCAAGTGCCACGTTCGGTAAATTCCCACTCACTTATGAGACGCGTGATCTGCGCTGCCTCGTCTCTCTCTCGCGTGCGTTCTGCAGCGGTCACTTGGATAAGTCGTCGTTGTTGCTCGTTGAACTTGCCGACTTTTGACGAGTTTGAGCGCTTGATGCACGCTGTGAAAAAGTGTGTTGGAAACATAAATTGAGGACCAAATCTGCACCTTATTGATGACCCGTGGTGTTAATATACTGCATCTGTGCCAGCGTGTGATGTAATAAAACTGCAGCTCGTTAATAATAGTCTTTTTTATCCATTTTATACAATCCGCCTTCATTTAGCAAGTGGGAAGGTAATTGGACTTTTACTTGAGTATATTTTTTCAGTACTCTTTCCACCACTGCTGATAAGCGATATTAACGACACCGTTGTTTACAATACAACCGGATCACATGCCGCTGAGGTGAGGGGCGGGACGATTAGACGCGCACTAAAGGTGGTTTAGCCAATCACAACACTGGGCTAGCTAATCAATCAGAGCCCATCGCCTATTTTTGAGGGCGGGGCTTCATAAAAGCAGGAAATGATCAGTGTGTTTCTCAGAGAAGGGACAGAGTGGTGTGGAATAAAGGTAAATTATGTGAAAAATAATGTTGTTTTTTTTAAAACAAAGCATTAACACCTGTTAGACTGCACCCCATAAACACAATTAAGCCTAGAAAAAAAAACAGTGAACCACCCCTTTAAGAAAAGCTCTACTACTGTAGTCTCACAGAAACTAGTCAAACTTTGTGACCTATTTTTAGTGGAAATCAGTTTCTGATCAACATGATGTTGAATGTTTGCATCACTCAGCCCACCATGTCTGGTGTGATTATGTCTTGCAGGTTTCGTGTGACCTGCAATAAAATCATCACTCACAAGATGTTTGACCATGTGGTTCTTGTCATCATCTTTCTCAACTGCATCACTATTGCCATGGAGAGGCCCAGAATCGACCCCTCCAGCGCTGTGAGTAATGTTACCTCATGCACATTCACACACGCAAGCCTGCCATTCAAAGCAACTTTTGCTGTAGGAATAATAGGTCAGACAATTGAAACACTTCTCTGACATAGTTGTTTTCTTATTTTTAATTAAAAAAAAGTTCACTTTTGGCAACATTTTCATACAGTTTTTGCAGGATAAGCAGGATAAGCAATCATGTGACAGTTGAAAAAAAAAGTTACTAGGTTAGATTTTCTTTATGAGGTCCCATGCTCCCTCTTGTCCTTTGGTCTCAAGGGTATATAGCTTTGCTTTATTTTATTTTAGTTTAGTTTAGTTTAGTTTAGTTTAGTTTAGTTTAGTTTAGTTTAGTTTAGTTTAGTTTAGTTTAGTTTAGTTTAGTTTAGTTTAGTTTAGTTTAGTTTAGTTTAGTTTAGTTTAGTTTAGTTTAGTTTAGTTTAGTTTAGTTTAGTTTAGTTTAGTTTAGTTTAGTTTAGTTTAGTTTAGTTTAGTTTAGTTTAGTTTAGTTTAGTTTAGTTTAGTTTAGTTTAGTTTAGTTTAGTGCTATCAAATGATTAATCACGATTAATCGCATCCAAAATAAAAGTTTTTGTTTACATGATATATGTATGTGTACTGTGTTTATTTATTATGTTTATATAAATACACACACATACTGTATATATTTAGAAAATATTTACATGTATGCACATTTATATATTTATATTATTATATTTTTTATTTTATATAAATATATTTAATATATAAACATAACATATTTTTCTTAAATATATACATGCATGTGTTTGT